GGCTGCCCGCAGCCTTTGCAGTGCTGGTTCATTCCCTGGCTGCCGGCGAGGGTCCCACAAAAAAAAAAAAAAAAAAAAGCCGTTTTAACAACCATGCCAGCTCTCAGGGTGCCAAGACAGGAGGGCCAGTGTGAGGGGAGTGGGCAAAGTGGCAGGCAGCCTTGGGAGTGGACGTCCTCAGAAACAGCTGCGAGGGAATTAACATAAACATGCCATCTCCTTTGGCCTAGCATTGCCTTCCCAAGAAGTTAGGTTCAGTGAATAATAGATAAAAATTTAAAAGTTAAAATCATACGCAGAAAATATTGTACTCAGGACTTTGAAAATAGTCTAATACATAGGATTATGTCAGATGGAACATGATGCAGCATTTAATTTAGAATCAGAAGACGCAAGCTGAAGGCAGGTATGAACTAGAGAATTGCAAGAGGAGGCTGTAAAGTCGTGCATGTGTGTGCCTAAAGTATATGCAGTGAAAGAAACTAATACATTTAAGATGATGTGCTTGGAGATACTAACGTCTTGAGCGAACATTAAAAGAAAATTTATATACATCCTTATATAAAGGGGTAATGATTTTCGTCTTAATACAGAATGAATCATTTAAAAATCCAGTTTATTCTCCACGGTGTAAGACAGAATGTGATGCAATTTCCGAGAGCTGAGGGCTCTTCTAGGCTGGGTGATTTGTGCTGGCATCCGAGCTGGTGACATTTGCTGAGTAAGGACAGCGAGGCAAGGTTTGGTAGTTCCTGGAGACAGCTCAGGGATTAGGAACTCTGGCCCCAGAGTTTGCACCTTGGTGTTCAACTTTGGGTAAGTTAATTAAACCCTTTGTGACTCAGTGTTCTGGTCGGGAAAATCAGTCACTAGTCGGGCCTGCCTGAAGGGCCCTTGCGAGGACAACATTAGTATTTGCAAAGAGTCGAGCAGTATCAGAGCTAGTGCTTGTGGTGCCGATCGCCACCTCCCCACCGTGCTGACTCTCATCCCAAGCGCAGCCGCGGCTGGGAGCGGGGAGCCGCTGCAGACTGGGAGGGCGGCAAGGGCCTTGCTCTGTTCCCAGCGGCCCGAGTTCCTTGGAGTAGAGAGTAGAGGGCACTGCCGTGGGTTTGAAACTGGAGGGGTTCACACCAGATGGACTCGGACCTCACCCCGTAAGACCCCCGACATGCACAGGGAAGCCACGGGGACCAGCAGGCCACGCGCCCACGGGGACCTGGCCAGCAGGCAGGAGGCCGGGCCCGGCCGCTTCCTCGGTGCCTTCGCTGAAACGCACGTGGCAGCACATCAGCCCTCGCGGATGTCATACTCTAATTTCATGCTTGTGACACTGGCACAGGCTCAGTAAACAAAGAAGAAACTCAATGGAATTTGATGGAGTTTGTCGACTCAGCACAGGCGGAATTTTGGATGGCGCACCGGGCCGTCGTTGTCCTTTCCGGTCGCTTCAGTTTCTCTTGGGGCCATAAACCTGTCAGGGGAGGAGCGTAGTCGTGAGAGCGGCGTGAGCTGAGCAGCAGCCAAGGCTGTGCCGGGTGCCAGGGCGCTGCTTCCGTGACTTTGGGGGGCCCTCCCGAGGAGAGGTCTCGGCGGCAGAGCAAGGGCGCGGCCACGGCCTACGTAGCTGCCGGCAGAGGGTGTGGGGGGGTATAGGAAACCCAAGCTCAAGTTGGAAGGGTGGGCGAGACAGGCTCCTGGCAACCGAGACGGCCAGTGCCAACATCCCGGCCTCCGGAAGACTGCTTCTGGGTGTCCGCCCTGAAGTCCAGGTCCTCTGAGCTCCCTCCAGCACCTTCCTGCCGCTGTGTCTTCCGACCCACCAACGAATCTCCCGCCCAGCTGGCATGGCAGCCTCGGGACCACAGCTCGGCATGGGCGGGGATGGATGGCGGCTGCAGGGCCCAGCGCTCACCGGGGTCGGCTCTGCCCACGGCCGCTCCTCCCCATGGGTCAGTCCTCTCCCTCCCATGGCACCAGCTGCCTTTAACTTTATTTCTCACACTAAATGGTTGCAGCAGGGGGCAAAAGTGAGTTATAATCTCTCAATGTATCAGTGATTAGAAAAATATTTAGAGCAAGTCTTATGTGTGCCAGATGTTAGAGGTTGTGTAGACCAACTAGAATGAGTTCATTTCACCGACTAATTCATAGAACCTCACACTCTGCACTGAGGTTGTAAAGACCCTGATCCTAGGAAGAACCTCTTAGCCTAAAAGGATAAATAAAACTAATGAGACCTGCAACTTATGAGTTGAACGGGGTGAGTGCTCTGAGGGACTCTGGGCCGCCTCTGCAGGGCCCACACGGGGAGCACACGGAGCCAGGATGCCCCTCGGGAAAGACAGCATTTGAGCTCAGAAGAGCTTAGCCCCAGGTTGCTCCACGTTAGCACTGTGACGTTTCAGTTGGATAAATCTTGAGGTTGGGGCTGTCTTGTGCCCAATGGTAAAAACCAAAACCATCTCCAGACATCGTTACATGTCCCCTGCAGGAGGAGGCTAACATCTCCCCTCCTCTTGAGAACCACTGATGAAGGCAGATGGGAAAGTTCCAGAAGACAAAACAGAATTTCAGCTTTATTCATAGATCGTAGGGAGTCCTTGTGCGTTAACAGCATTGCATTTCAGAGAGATGGCACTGCTCTGCGGCTTGTAGGGCAGAGGCAGTGGCCAAGAGTGATGTCCCCACTCCACTCGACGCCTACCTGGACAGCAGACCTTGGCCAGCCAGTGGTCTGATGCTGCACCAGGCAGCTCATCTACAAAACAGCCCCAGCAAGGGGGGTCATCCTGGGGGTCTTCCTCAGCCAGAGGCATGCCAATGTCCTCGGTCCCTATTCCAGTTGGGGTGGACTTCCTTACACTGCACACAGCACATGAGCAAAGGGCTTTGAACAGGACCCTGGTCTTTCTCTGATGTTTTTCAAAGAGAGACTCTTTGAAATTCTGAGTCAGAGAAGTTTCTGAACCAGAAGTAGACAGCCCAGGTCATTTGGTCCATTACTATGTGGGTGGGCTGGAGAAGGGAGGTTTGAGTAAGTGTTTTCCTCAAAGGTGCTCTGGCCCCGGCAGGGAACATGGACATTCCCAGACACTGAAGAGGGTTTACAGTCCCTGGAATAGAGATGCAGGTGAGATACCTGTGTGCAAAGGATAGCAGACGTTCCCTGCACTCATTCTTCCTGGATTAGCAATGGCAGGACCAAGACTTGAGGACCTCAAGGAATTGGTTGACCATTTCTTGATTTTCTGTGGTGTGGAATAGTGATTTTCTGCTTGAGAGAAGGCATCCCATGAGAAAGTGCTAACGGTCAGGGAACTATCGCTGGACATCACTGCGGTGTGTGAGCAGACACATTCTCAGGGTCCCAGCAACTCAAGAGAAGGTGCAATTAACCTGTCTCAGGCCACACAACTGGACGGAGCTCTGGCTGGAGCCACCTGACTCTAGATCCCCCACATTGAACCCCTGTGTTGGCCAAAGCTAGTTCCTTCCCGAGACATTTTTCAAGGTGTGGCAAACTTACTGATATTTAAAATTTTTAAAATAAATCTCAATTCTTGGATAAAACAACTGGAGGGCTTGTAAAAGTATAAGACTGCTGGGCTCTATTCCTCTCTCCCCCCCCCAACTTTCCTTCCAGGTGATTCTGAGCAGCTTATTTGGGGGTGTGTGTGTATAAGTCTTAGAATTCCCACCCTTAGTTTACCCCTGATCTTGGTTGTTCACGGCTGGCTTGATCAGCACCCCCACTTGCTATTCTTAGCTGTGCATTAATGTGCATTATTCATGGTTATCAAGTTGGATAACTGTGGTTGAGGGCCTTCTATTTTTACAATAATTAAAGGGTTTAGGGGAAAATTAGTTTAGCTACTCATGTGCCCTCACATGGCCTTGTAGGTAGGAGACAAAATGCCCAGTGAAAATGAAGGCGCACGGGCCCTGTCCGTGGTGCTGACGGACACATCCATCAGTTCACAGGAGCCAGCCGCCCCGGGCAGAGCAGGAACAGGGAAGTCTGCATATTTCCTCCAGCTCTGTCTGACACACAGGTACTTGTCAAGCCTAATGGAACAAGGACGGAAGAGAAAAGGGGATTGAGACATGCCCCAGGGGCAGCAGACTCAGTTCTTCAGCTTCAAACCCACTGTCGGGAGAAACAGAAGTGCAGGGCACAGAAAAATGACTCATGCCCAGGGCTGAGGCCAGTGCCAGGTCACTAGGCACCATGTCCTCTTTTCAGCCCCTCTGCTTCTGGCATGCTGGTTGGAGAACTGAACTGGAGGGCAGGATGGCCTAATCCGCTCAAGACAGGGCTTGTTCAAACTTAACTGTGGGGCCCAGGAGTCCACCCCCAGGAGCACTGGTTTACTCATCTATAGATGATTCTAATAGTCCCAGACTCAGATTTCATGTGAGGACAAGATTAGACAGAGGCATATGGCATGTAGAAATAACTCAGAATGTTAGCTGTAGTTGCTACCAGCCTCGGAGCTGTTGATGTCTGCATGCACCTGGTGACACCCTCTGCTCTGCGTCAATGCCTCATTCCAGAGAACTGGCCACACCATATTTCTCCTGGTCATTAAAGGGTCCTTCTCTGATGCCCACAGAGCTTCTGACTTCAGTGTGCCTCAGAACCTGCTGGCGCCTCACTATTCAAAGTACAGTCCACACACCAGAACACTTGGAGTCACCTGGGAGCTTGTTAGAAAGGTGGAACCTCTGATGTATCAACTCATAACCTGGCCTCTAATTAGCTCCACAGGTACTAGGATGCACATTAATGGTGGCACGTCCCCAGCCCAGCTAGTACAGACAGGATGCTGCAGTCGGGTGCTTAGAGGCAACATCGTTCCTGGCTATTGACTAAGCCTGTCTTTCCCATGATTATTCTATATCTAATAATTCTATTTCTTAGCACTTACTGTCAGATTATATGTGTCAGAAGCTGCCTCCTGCCAGCAACTCCACTAGCCGGCTATTGCATTTTACAGATGAGCAACCTGGGACTCAGCAATTGACCTGAGGAGAGTTGAGCCGGTTCTCCCGTGGCAGGCCAGGAACCCACCTCAGACCTTTCTCACAGTTGATGATGCGCCTGAATGCTTCAGTGCCTAGTAGGTAACAAGGGGGGACCTTAGCGTCTGCACAAACCACCCAGATGGCCACCTTTGTATCTCTTGCCAAGCTGATGAGATGGATTTTAATATTTAATTGCATGCTAACCATGAAGCAATGCCTTCGTGAATATGCAACACTGACGGTGGATATTGACCATAAGAGATCAAGAATTCCTCCCCTGCCTGATTCTCTAAATTTTGCCCCTTAAAGTGGATGTGGGTGCAGACAGACCCTGGATTCTGAGCAGCCGAGAAGTGGTGAATAGAGCCCCCTGCAGGGGGAAGGTGAGGAGGGGCATTTAGATGGGCTTCAGAACCAGAGGCACCCAGGAAAGTCAGGGGATGGGCGGAGGAGAGACGCCACGTCCTGGAGGTGAGTCATAGCTGGACACCTGGGCCCGGCGAACAGGCAATGTGACCCTCCCTGACCTCTGGCTAGCAGAGGCTTTCTCCCGCATCCATGGTCAGATTCCACCTCCTTAATCATGTGAGTACGGCACATGAGAAACCCCATTTCACAGAAGAGGACATGGGGGTTCAGACATGCCCCCGTTATGTTTCCTGCTGTCATTTACAGTATCGGGACCCCAAACACCCCAGACAAACCTGAAAGCATCACTGAGTCTGTTGCTCTAGGTGTGACCCTGAGGTCTGGGGGGTAAATGTCCTTCCCCCCATCTTGCACCGCATCACATTCAGCCGTCACTTGTAAACCGCATGAGCCAGCGGGCTGTGCCGGAAATGAAAGGTCTGCCTTCAAGAGCTTTGTCTCTCGTTGAGCCACCATCCTTGTCGTGAGCAGCGACCAGCTGGTATGTGGACCCGCAAGACCCTTTTCCAGCAGGGAGATGGGGCCTGACTCATCCTTGACGGGAAGCAGCTCACATGTCTACGGCCTCACAGTCCCTCCCCATGGGCATTTGAAATCAACGGTAAACCACAGTTTAGTCCTTATGAACCTTCAACTTGGAGTTTAAATGCCTCGCTGAGGGCACAAAGTAGGTTAGAACACCAAATTGGCACAATTGCTCAGATCCAGGTACACCAGGTTTTGCAAAGGACAGTCTACAGATTAATTGCAGAGAATGGTTTCAGGTGCTTATTAGACTATTGATTCTTCGCTTCACAGAAGATACTTCATCAGAACCCCTGGGGTGGAGCTTGGGGTCTGCTTTTTAAAAGTGCATCAGCAATCACACACTGCTTTAAAGCCATCCGTACCATTAGCACGATGTCCAAGAAATTACTATAAAGCTACAGTCGAGAACACAGTGTGGTCCTGGTGCAAGAATAAGTAGACGAGAGACCTAGACCCCCGTAAGTCTAGACAACTGTCTTTGCTGCATTGGATTCCATTTGCTTCTTTGAAAGAAATGATTCAACAAATGATCCTGGAACAACCGGACATCCCTGTGCCCAGGCAAGATTGGCTAAGAACTGGCAAATCAACCCACAAGAAGTGAGCAAGGATAGACATTTCCTGAGTGATCGAGTGAATGCATGAATAAGCCACTGTGTACTTGGGTAACATTTATTCAGAGGTTCCTAATCCCGTGTTAGAAGACAGCGAGGGTAGCGGTGGCAGAGCCCCCTGTGTGGACGGTGTGGGGGTGAGCACGCAGCACAGGCAGCTGCCACTCTGTCCCCTCCCCCCATCTTCTGATCCTCCTGCAGCACTGGGCTGTTTCAAAATGTTTTAGCTGAGAATTGCACTCGAGAGCGCTGGAACTTGAAATCCTGAGACAGAGGTATCTTCTCTCAGAGCAAACGAGGTCTGGGCATGTTCTGCCCCTTCACCCTCCTAGCAGGGGCAATGGAGCCTGAGGACCCCAGGGACCCCTCCTGTGGGGTCTGGACTCCTGCCTGCCCCACCTGGGCCCCTGCTCAGGATGAGCTGGACCTGTGGGAGCCACACCGGGCACCTTGCACCGAGACCCGGGGCTGCAGGGTCCAGGTGGAGCTGCTCAAGGCCCTTGGGCGGAGGAGTGAGGACCTGAGCAGACACCAGCATGAGGTCGGAAGAGTGTTCTCAGAACCCTGGGGTTGAAGGTCTCCTGTGGCTTCTGGAAACCTCTCCAAGGGACTGGAGGACAGCATCTCCCGACCCCACGGCCCTGCTGTGAGGGAGCTGCAGATTGGGACCCAAGGGACAGGCTTCTCGGCTACAGATGTCCACTGGACAAGGACCGTTCTGGACAGTTTCAGTTGCTGCATTCTCAAAATAAGCAGCAGGGCCAGGCCAGAAGCTCCCCAAAGGCCCTGGGCTTTCCTGGCTGCTGATTCATCGAAGCGGCCACTGTCGCCAGCACCCTAGCCCTGAGCCGTCACGAGGCTCGAGTGGCAGAGGGTAGCCCTGAACACATTTGGGGTGGGTGCTCCTAGTTCTTGTTGGCTGACCCAACCATGCCTTGTATGAAAGCATAGCCAGTGGCCATACATGGAATTCCAGAAAGGAAACTATAGGACCCTCTTGTCAGCTCAGATTGAGTTCTATCTAATGTTGGACAGAGCCGTTGTATTATTTCTTAGGGCAAGATACCGCAGACTGGGTGACTTAGTTTATGGTCTCAGTTCCAGAGGCTCTAAGTCCCATTCAAGGCGTCAGCAGCAGACACGGTGTCCCACGGAGGAGGTGAGGAATGTGTTCCGTGCCTCTCTGCTGGTGGCCACCGCCAGTCCACGGCACTCCTTGGGCTTCCTACAGTCTGCCTCTCCGTCTGCATCAGCCTCTCTTCTCGGTCTCTGGTGTGAGAATACCCCTCCTATATGGACACCAGCCATTAATCCCCGTTCCTTAAATCCTCGTTGCTGGAACCTCGTGTGGCCACGTCTTGGTTACATGAACAAAGAACATGTCCTGTTTCCACATAAGGCCATAGTCAAGTCCTGGGAGTTTGGACAGGAACATGCTTTTGAGGGGGACATTTCAACCTACAACAGCCACTTAAAATAGTTGCCTTCAGAAGGCTCAAGGCTGGAGAGAGTTCTAGATTCTTCTACCGAGCCCACGCGATGAATATAGCTAGAACGTTTCAGGCAGGTTATAGATCAGGGACCCACTGACTGCGTAAGAGGGCCCGGTCCCCACATCTGATGGCCTCCTTAGGAACACACCTGATGACCTTGCTTTTGGTCAGTTCCGAGCACCCAGCCCTGGAGTTGCCTTTCTGGGCTGGGGAGTCTCTCGGCCACCTCCGAACGCGGACTCCGGGGCAGTAACTGCCCTCAAATCATTGTTTAAACTCGCAGGCCGGCGTGTCAGACCCCGAGGACCAGAGAATGACCCGAGACCCCTGCCCAGCACATCGGCGTTTGTTTCAGGACATTCTTAGATATTTCGACGTTTTCATAGACATCAAGTGTGTGCTCAGTCATATCTGGCCTGTCCCCGTGCGTGGGGCGAGTACTTTTCCACAGTGCTGCGGAACTTTCCTCCCTCATTTTAAGCAGTGGCTGGTCTACTGGGTGCACACACTATAATTTATAGACCCATTTCCCCGTTATTCATTATTTAAGTCTCTTTCTAGTTTTTCCCCATTAAAAATAATGCCTCAGGGAATATATTTACACATAGATGTTGCTTTTCTTTCTCAGACATAGAATTATACCCTTAGGCTCAGTTCCCAGAAGTGAATTGTTGGATCAAAGAATATGAATTATTTTTGTGGTTCTGGAATAAGTTGCCAAGTTGCTTTCCAAAACAGTGATTACCAGAACAGGGGCCGGGGCAGCTCACCCCGGCCTCAGGGAGCTTGTGGCTGTTTTCTATCAACCGCTGAGGGTTTAGCAAGCACTGTTTGCATCTCTTTGTGCAGAAGTGGGGTTTGCCATCATCACAGACACACATTTGCTTTCTAGTTACAATTTCCACAAACCCAACTTCTCCACGCGTGGGCACCTCGGCGTGGTATTCAGCCTGACAGAAGATTCAGGCACAAGGTAGCTGGGCAGATGGCACAGACAGGGGTCCAGGAGGAGAGGGGGGCTTGCGTGTCACGCTCTGCAGGGGGCAGGTTTGGGGAGCTGAGCAGACCGTCAAGACACGGAGTGTTGTGTGCTCAGGTGCGGGTCCATCCCAAATGGCAAGGGTTGGGGGTGAGGATTTCAACACCAGGTGCCCCCTGGAGTGGGGGCAGCAGGGAGCCAGTCCCTCACTCTGTGTCCACTGAACCTGTGGCTGCAGCGGTCAGTACTGGACCATGAATGCAGCCGATGTCCGATTCCTCTGCCACTAGGTCCCAAGGGCTGAGTGGGAGCAGCTGAGTCCACAAAGGCAGTGGCAGGAGTGGGTGGTGAGGCCCTGTCTGATGTCCCACGTGCTGCCCCCTCCGGGGACACTGGCTAGTGGAGAACAGGAGGTCGGAAGCACAGCCCCTGTGTGCAATGTCCTGGAACCAGACCTAAGTCAAGGAGAAGAAACCTTGGTGTCAGCATTAGCAAGGGCCTGAAAGGCAGCAGGCCGGGTGATGCCAGCAGCTCAGGAAATCCTGAAGGAGGTGGCAGCTAGAGTGGCAAGTTCTCCCTTAAGGAGCCAGGAGCCCAGTGCCTGCTGCCTGAAGGCCAGCGAGCATGCACTGCCCTGGTCTTCCAGCAGGAATCCATAAACAGTTATCAAACCAACTGTCATCCTGAAGTCAGACATCTGGGCATGCTAGGGCTGGTGGCATGTTGAGAATAACCCAATGAAAACCCACATTGGGCACAGAACAAGGCCCACAAGACCCTGAGCCCAGAGCCACACCAGAGTGACAGGGAAAGCAGCTCGCATATCCCGAGTGCCCACCTCAGGCCTTGACTTACTGGCGCCCAGAGCATCGGGGGCAGGTTTGGCCCCGAAGGTCACCGTGAGCTTGCCAGACCTCCCCGCTCACAGCCCTGCCCAGACTCTGAGCCAACGTGGTCCAGCCAGTTGGCTGGACCTGCGGGCTGGAGGGACGAGGTGAGGTGAGCTGGAGGCCAGACGTGCCCATGTGTGACTAGACGGCCTGGCTACCCCACCCACACACGGTGTCTGAGGTAAGGAACCCTGTCTGCAGCCAGGAGGCATGGTAGCATTGCCGCCACTCAGCAGAGCCCCAGCACACCATGCCATGGAGCACAAGGAGACCCGCTGCCCCCTGTGCCTCAGTCTCCTCTGCCCAGCAAAGAGCCAACTGAGCAGGGCTCGGGGGCGTCCAGCCCCCGCCAGGCCAGGAGCAGCACTTTTGTGGAAGCCGTCTGGCCACCGGCACTGCTGCAAACACGCAGGGTCACCTCTGCCTGGAGACAGTGGGCCAAGGGCCAGCGCCACCTCGCAGGACACGCTGGCTGCATCCCCTGGGTCCCTCCCCAGCAGCAGTGGGGCGGGCAGTTGCACCTCACACCTGGCCTGAGCATTAGATTGACATAAGGCGCCTCAGGTGACAGCACGTGGACGCAGAGGCAACCTCAGGCATGAAGACGTGCAGAAGAGGCGAGGCTGTGTGGACCTGGCTGCTGGCACAGAGAGGGCACCTTCACCTCCTGCTTTTATGAGAAATGCAAGAAAGATACTGACATTCTCCCCCAAGTGCCTTTAACTCAAAAATAGTCTAACATGGCAGACTTGTTGGGGGGTCATTTCCCCAGTTCTCAGTAGCACCTCCAGACGCCTGCTGCAAAGCCAAGCCCAGCTTAGCATCTCAGCCTCTCAGGGCCAGCTGAGGCCGATTTCCCGGGGCTGGGCGGCGCGGCCACTCACCCAGGACAACTGACTCTGCAAAAGCTGGCGCTGAGATCCCGCCACCGGGGGCCGAATTCCCGAGTGTGGCCGGGATCGCAGTGAAGCCTCGCCGAGGAGGGTCTCTGTTCTGCTTTGGAAAATAGCTGGTCTGGGACAGCTTGGCTGGTTGGTGAACAGCCAGTTACCGTTTTAAGGTGTCCAGCATCTGACTCGGTGACAGGAAACTCAGTAAGGGGAGTTCTAGTAAAACGCTACAAGTATTGCTTTGGGGTCGAGCTGAGCTCCGACTATGATCCGGCTGTTTATTGGACCTTGGGTTGGACAGTCTACGAGATTCTCCAGTTCCCCCACCTCAAAACTAGGGGTGTTGAGGACTAAGTTGAGTGGACATGAGTGACAGCGGGCACCTGCCAGGTGCTCCGTAGGCATCTAAGGCCCGAGGTGAAGGACCAGTCTTGATCCATGCTACAGACGTGGGCGTCTCAGCTTTCATTTTGATTCTCTGCCTTGTTCTAGGTCATCAGAAAAGCATCCTAGCCAAGTAGCCTTCTCCAAGGCATCCTGGATTTAGCACAAAAGGTACTTACTAAATGCTTGGTGCCGAGAGATTTATTCATTTGTAATCTAAGTACTTACTGGCCCAGGCACTAACCACCCTAACTACTGGGCAAAATGAAACGAGAGCCACCTCTGCAGCTGGCGACTCATCTTCAGAATCAAGAGGTTGTTACTAGAGATCTCAAAGGCCAAGTTAGTAGAGTCTGGCCACATAGTGACGTTTGCTTTCCTACTTAGCTGGTTGTATAATTTCAGCGGAAAGTAATGATGCTTTCCACAGACACCGCACCATTATTTGGAGCTGCTGGTCCATGGCCATGGTTTGCTTAGTGATATTTGGAGCTCAAGGCCAACCCAAGTAGCCTTGGGAAACAGCTATTTAAAAAAAAAACAAAACACCGCATTGGCTTGATCCTCAGGCCAGCTGGTAAGAGTGCATGGCTTCCTGCTTCAGGTGTGCAGGGTAGTTAAAACCCACACATGCTCACTCGCGTGTGATAACATGTGTGGACTTAACTGCCCACATTGTCCTGGACAAGGGAACAGGCCCAGGGCCTCTCAGCCCAATCGCCACCCACAGACAGGTGAATAAGCCAGCAGCGTAACAGCCGCTGTTCACTGCTCCCCCCACCGGGAGTCGGAGGGATGGACCAAGCGGTCCTGCTCCCAGGCCAGGAAGGCCCCTGAGACCCCTGGTCAAGGCTGGCGAGACTCCTTGGGTGCTGGGTTGGCACTTGCCGGCCGTGAGAGATCAAGAGAAGACCCGCAAGGAGACGCCAGGAGGTGCTATGGCCGGGGTGGTGTGCTCTTTGGGCATGAGGTTTGGGAAAGGAACTAAACTATTGACTGAGCAAGCAAGGACGGTGGACTTGGCTGGAGTCCTTGGTTGTGCCGATTGTGGGCGCCCATCAGCGGCAGCTCGGGGCTGCCAGGCTGTGACCTCTCCTGGGTGACAGGAAGCTGCGCCGCAGCTCCAGGTTGGCTAGGTCTAGTCTCCCTTTCCCTTGTGCAGTGTCTTGATTCCCGTCTTCCCACTGCCCCCGTCCTGGGGGCCTGTGGTCTGTCCCAGGCGACGTGCCTGATTCAGAAACAAACACACAATGGCGGCTTCAATGGAGGCACCAAGGTTGATGATTCAGAGTGACCCGAATTCCCTTTGCTGAGTTAAAGGTTCATCAGTGGACTACTGGACCTCACTGTCGAAGGCACCAGAACATTCACTCTGGCTTTGGAGTGTGAGTCTTGGAGGGTTTTGCCTTTTGCTTAAGCCTATACAGTAGGAGGCTGAGCCCAAGATCAGCTGTTCCAATTCCCCATTTTTTTTTAATTCTGTATTTTCAGATTGCCATGGGATCAATAAATGCATTCCCAGTATAGGCACCGAGCACCTAGCAGGCACTAAAGGCACAAGGTCCACTTTAATTTGCTGCATATGTTAGAGGGTGTTGCAATCAAGGTTGGGCAGAGCTAGGATGCCATAGGGTCAAGGAACCCGAATTCCTTGCTGCTCAAATGAGGAAACAGGCTCAGGTATGGGGGCTGCTCTGGGGGGCTTAGGTATGGACCAAATCGAGGGCGGAGCCTCAGGTGTCTGACTCAAGGTGTCACTGTCACTGCATATTTTCCCGTTTTCTTTCTTTCCCGCCTCTCGAGCACATGGCCCCCCTGGCTGTTCTGATCTCTTGTCTCCTTCCTTTCCAGATGGTAAGGCTCCTGAAATCATTCCCCGTAAGGAAGAATCAGAGCTCAGCTCCTTGGAGGAATGGATGAGAATGTATTCAAGAGGAGCCTCGGGCAGTTTGTACCAGAATTCAAGGAAGCTATCAAAGACTAATGGGCCTTATCAAAAGGACGTAAGAACCAACAAAGAGGCTCCTGTTGGCCTGAGAAGGAAAATTTTTGTAAAATGTGATTATAAACTACAGAGAAAAGCTAGTAATTATATATTTGTAATGACACATACAGAGAGAAAGAAAAGAAACCCAATCAAAACCCAATCAAAAGCAACTATGAAAACAGCTCATTTAGAACCGCTGTATTCTAGGGCACTAATGAGAGAATTACGCATGATTCCCAGGGCTCCTGAACAAACTGTATTTCAGGGTGACCAATATTTCTAATGTGCAAGGAAACGTTTGTAGAGACTGAATAACACATCGTAAGGAATGGTAGTTCCGAGTGGTGGGATTGACTCAGAATAGCCCCTCACTGATGAGGCATCCGATGATGTATTGACAAGGAATTTTGCAGGAGAACTCAAGCAGGGCCACCTGAATCGGTGTGATTAGTAATTAGCTATGACTCTCTCGCCGTTGTGTTGCTGTGTGAAGCACAATCACACCTGTGGAATGTTTGCCAAGAAGCCAAGTTCATATAATGAAACCCATGAGCAGGGTTCAACAAGGTAAGCCCCTGGCCCAAGTTCTGACTGAACTGTGTTTGTGTAAATGGCATGGCGGGCATGATTTACATTTAAGCCTATAAATAAAAATAAGCCTGCCCTCCAGAGTCTAGAACATTTACTATTGAGGCATTTAGAGAAAACAGGCTGATCCCCTGGCTTGGGATCGTACTGATGTCTCGTCAGACCACTTGACATCCCAAAAGGACTGGTGTCCAGAGAGCTACATGTAGGGGCGGCCCACCTGATAAGGCATGAGCCAGCAAGGCCCCAGCAGAGAGGCAAATGCTTCAGGGAACTGGTGCCAGCCTCCAGGATGCCAGAGGCCCTGACGGATGCCGTGAGGCTGCGTCCTGGCAGGGAGCGTGTGGCCTGAAGCTGGGCCTTGCGCATCCTGCAAATGACTCCCTTGGCAGAGTTTTGTTTTCTAGCCTCATAAACTGGCTTTGCAGGATTAGCTGCTCTGACACCCCGGTGACTTCACCAGGGCACAGAGCAGGTGCTGCATTGAGGATGGACCATATAAACTGTCTTCATGCGGGAGCTCCAGGCTGCTGTGCTCAGAGACAGGCAGACAAGTCATGGCCTTAGCGTGACCTAGTCCTGATCAGGGGGGAGCAGGATGGCAGATGAGCAGGGAGGAGCGTGGTTGCCACCCAGTGACCAATTTGATCCCTTGGCGTGGCTGTGCCTGGTTGTGATGGGAAGTGACAAGGACCCATTGACTCCTCTGCCTTGACCCCCAAAGGATTAGGAGTCTGGGTCTAACTGAGGGGGTCGGTCAAAGGGAGGGTTCCAGAAGGAGCGGAGGGGGCAAGCCAGTGTCAGCTGTGAGTGCAAGAGGGGTTAAGTGGGCAGACAAAGGTGAGAACTTGACCCAGCTCCCTTCTCTGCTTAGTTTCTTCCTGGAACTCAGGCCCATGGAGCCCTGGACGAGCTGCTCCCAGGATCTGTGTGAAGGATTCTCCACCTCCCCAAGCCACACTCCACACCCCCAGTCTCGGCTGCCTCCGTACCAGGCCGTGTGCTAGCTTCTTCATCTGCTTGGCGGAGCGCGACGCCGCAGGAGTGTTCCCAGGAGGATCCCACACGCTCTCCTCCGCTGGGCGGGAACCCGCCCTGGGCCGCCTGCACCCCACATGCTCATCACGGCCTCGCGCCTGCCCCATCACGGTCAGGATCAGGGAAGGGGCCGAGGGCAGCCATCCTGCCTTTGTTCTTACAAGTCTCCTGGGGCGGGGGAGCAATGCCCTGGAGAATGGGAGGTTGGTGTTTGGCTAGTGAGCGCCGGAACCAACCAGCTCCCCGGAAAGTGTCCTGTGATGACTGAGAGCCCACTGTCAGCTCAGGGTAAGCCTCAAAGTGTATTTTACAAGTCAGATCTGACTCATGAGCAACTTCCTGATCTGTGCAGGATCCAGCGAGGCAAGCAAGCCTCACCCAGCTCACAAGTGGGGACACTGCGCCCCACCTTCCCCCCTCCTGCTCCCTCGCCACATCTTCCTCTGCCACCCACCGACACAGACTTTCCGTAAAGTCAATCCTTTTAGCTCTAAAACCTCACTTGCTCCTTAGTGAACTAAAAACGTGTGCCACCATGCTGTCCTCCAGCTTAGCACATGTTCCTGAGCTAAATGAGTAGCTCCTTAAAGGCTCCGACCCTCAGCTGGAACTGTACGTGCACGGATTCCTTGCACACTGCACTGCTGAGTGCGCCGACCAGGTTGAGAGCCGACCACCTAGGTGGTCCCCAGGGGGCCTTGGTGTCAGGTGGGGGGATGGCAGAGCTGCCCCCTGGTGACGACTGTCTGGGCTGGGAGGAGCACCGTAGGCCTGGGCTCAGGAGAAGATTTTCCATCAGATGCAGACAGGCGCATCAGGACTGTGCCAAGCTTCGAGGACGGCCTGGAAGGGCGGGAGCACCGGAGCCCAGTGACGCTAAGATGGCCAGACAAGCCGCTGTAGGGGTCAGGTGAAGGCCACCGCCAGGCAGCATGCCCAAGACTCAGGGGCAGAGGCTGCTCGGACCTCAGGCTCAGGCAAGTATGGCGGTGTCGGCGAGTAGCTGCGCCCGAGATGCCGGGAAGGACCTCCCGGCCCTCATGCTCACCCGTGGAGTGTTCTCCCCACCTGGGCATTTCTGGGGCCCAGTTTGATGTCAGTGTTCTAGAAATAGCCCTGGAACCTGGAGACTCAGGCCGGCAGACTCGTCGCGGGTCTTGTGCACAGCCCCTGCATGGACGGGTCGGCGCGGCCAGGGGACGGGCGTTGCTGAAAGCCACGTGGCCAGTGGCCAGGTGTCCCCCATGGGCGGGTGCAAGGGCGAGCGTCTCCCGGGACATGGCGCCCAGCAGTCCCCACGTTCACCTTCCAAGAAAATCGACTAGGCGCTGGAAGGAAAGGGCCCCCGAGGCTCAAGGTGCGGCAGACGGGCGTGGGCCAGGTGCGGGCTTCCTGCTCCTCGCAGTTTTGTTTCACGAGCCTTGAAGGAACGTGGCAGCTGGGGTCAGCCACGCTGCTCTTCATGCTTTAAAAAAGGTGAACTTTTCCAACAGCTTCATATTTAAAGGACCCTTCCCAAGGTGGGGCGCGCTCCCCTACGCCCCGGCCCGGTCCCCGGTTACGAGCCTCGTCTGTCAGCGGGTGCGTGGCCACGCCTCAAGGCCACGTCAGTGCCCCCTGTGCCCCGGGCCCACCAACGACCCGTTGTGTGACAGTCTCCAGCCCCTGGGCTCTGACTGTTTCCCCGACCGCCTCTCCTGTCGGAGCACTGCGGATCGGGGCCTCTTAGTACGTTCCTCAGACTCCTGATGCTGCTCTCACGACTGGACTGGGGCTTTCGATGGGAGAGACCACCTCAGGACTCCCCGGTGCCATCCTGCGGTACCAGGGTGCTAGAGCTGTGAGTCCAGTACCGACTCAGGACTGGGCCAGCTCCCCACCCTACCACCGCCTCCCCCCTTTTCATTCAACACTGATGAGTCACCAGGTACGGCCGCGCTTAGGGATGGGGGTGCAATCCACGTGGACCATTCGGGAAGCTGCATGGGGGGGTCTTGTCCTGGTAATTTTTATTCATTCGCTTGCTCCGGCTCGGGATTGCTTTCCACCGGAGTCTTCTGGCCTCGGTCCTCGGGCGCTTTTCCCTCGGTCTGTGTCCCTTTGACACACTTCCTGCATTGGGGGTTGCCTGTGGAGCACGTCCTGTGTCCCAGCACACGAGATGTCCTGGGCCCCACTAGCGGCCTGCCCCAGGCCGGGCTCCAACCTGTCTCCAAGAAGCCCTGGCTCTTCTCTGGAGTAGAATTAGAAGTGACCACCCAGGCGTGGGGAGGGCTGGCTGCTGCTGGCTGTTGAGCTGCCAGCGCAAGAGACTGATGTGCGTGTACCTGCATCTAAAATATCCCCCGACCTTGCCATCTGCATGTGTCCCGTCCCGGCCTCAGATCATTCTAGTCTCCTCCCCGTCTATCCAACCCTCACACTTGAACAGGGACTTTGCGTCCACCAACCCCTATACACATGCTAAGTGTTCAGCGCTAGCACACGCAGTGACTCGAGTCGTTCACCTGTGCAGCTCATGACAAGCCCCTTGATCCACTCGGCCAGGGCTTAGCTGGCCTCCCCTCTGGCAGACGCCCCTCATTTAGTTGGGCAGTTTTCCCAACTGCCCATGTATTTGTGGAATAGTTAGGTTCCTGTATCACATTCTGAATTCAATGCCAGGCTCACCTGGTCCCCTAAGTATTTTAAGTCATGAACAGGCCCCTGCTGTGAGGGGTCTTTGGGGGTTGACAGTGTTTGATGTCTATCACTGCTGCATCGCACATGACCCCGCGATACCCATGGTGCTCCCCTATTCAGTCCTAGAGGAGAGGCAGTGCATCGGGGTCAGTGTTTGGTAAGTTTCCTGAAGGGGCACCTTGACCAGTAGCTGCGACTGCAAGCAGGCCCCACAGAGGTTGCTGTCCCTCTAAGTTGCTTTTGCACCATCGCCCCACGTGTGTCCACCTTGGAGCTCTGGCGCGAGGGCGCCCATGCTGTGCTGGCAAGGAGCCAACTGCAGGAGGCGGGTCGAGGTGGGGCTGGGCGCACTGCAGGGTGGAAGTGGAGGCTCGCTCAGCTCAGGGGTGATGGCTCCAGGATGCGGGCTCTGGAGGGGTGCTTCTTGACACCCACACTCTATCTGCGGGACTCAGTGCTTGCTCGGGATACCAGAGGGCCCTGGGGCCTAGAAAGTTGCCGACTCGGGAGGTCCATGCTGTTCCGATCGCTGCCTCACACCCCTCCGATGCTCTACCCAGGAGTGGTAGGGGCTGTCGGCGTCAGTGAGACCCTCAAAACCCAGGATCATCCTGGGAGTCGGAATCTGTCTTCCTTCTGGAAGCTCCAGCCCTCCAGCCTTCTGCCCCAGGCAACAGCCTCACCTGCCATGAATGACCAGGACAAACGGGGTGTCCCAGAGTGCCTGTGTCCAGCTCTGGCCAGTGAATGCAGGTCACTTGACATTCAGAGGCATGAAAAACATGGCTCAAGCAAGGGATAGCAAGACATCTACAGCCTCCTGTGCA